CTTGCTTATAGTGAAATAATTCTTTCAAATAGTACTTATAACAGAAAAATTTTGTTAAATAAAATGAAAATTAGTTTGAGAAGTAGAAATCACATTTGGTTATAAAGAAGCATTATGTTATATATGTATTATATTTCTAAGTTACTTCATAATTCATATTAATTAAATTAATAAAACTTATGTGCGTTTGATTTAGACCAGAATTTTTTATTTTTTTATTGGATATAAATTAGTGGAAAGATTACAGTGCCAACGGTGTATTACGCAATATATTTCCTACAATTCTCAAACCAGTCGAGAATATCGATATTTCTCAGGATCGATTTTTAACGGAAAACATGGCGGAAGAAACCACATCTCATCTGTGAAGAAGAAAATATTATCCAGAAAAGTCATCCAGGAAGAAGTATCATCGAGAAGTTCTCAGATAAAAATTTAAATCAATAGCTATTAGATTTGCATTTGTATTGTGAATTTTTAAATTAAAATTTGTATTTAATTCATCGGAATCTGCCAGATTACCAAAAGCAGTGCATAGTTTTTAGTTCTCTAAAGTAAAATTGAAACTAAATAATTATTACACATGATTTTCAACGATTAAAAAAATAATGGCATATAAACATTTAATTTTATACCAAATTTTAATTTCAATTTTAACCAGAACAAATATTATAATCTTGTAATTAATTAATTTTTATATATATGTACGATTTTTATTGTATGCTTTTACACAAACACTTCTATTATATATTATTTTCTACTCATTTTTTGATTCTTTAATTTCGTATTGTATAATTTTTAATACTATAATACTAAATACTATATTATAGTATAATAATATATTATAGTATAATAAATACTATATTATAGTATAATAATATATTATAGTATACTAAATAATAAGTTCATAATTCTAATACTAAATTCAAGAATAGTTTAGAGCGTACGTATTTAATAGTTAAAATAATAATTCTACTGTCTAGTATAATAAAATTTTTTATTTCCCAAACAAGGTAAGGCGTAAAAGGCTTTGAGCTCGAAATTCAAAACAATAATACGGAAACTTGTTCGTTCAAGTTTGTTCCATCCACTACTACATACTTTTGTAATTGAAGTACAAGATATATCGCGGGAAATTCGACTCTTGAATTTCGTGACAATATATATATTATAATATGTATTAGATTCACAACTTTTTTAATCTATCGGTGGCGTCCTTTTAATATTCTTACTCTTACTGAGATATATCTGAGATATATTTATACCTTATTAATAGTATCATTTAATTAATATTACAAAATATGTAATATATTTACAATACTACAAAATATATAATATATTTTTTCTGAACGCTGACGCGCAATTAAACGATTCAGGGAAAAATTTCACATGTATATGATTTTTCAGACATATATAGCTGTAAATTTTGATTTATGCAAACATTTTTGAATATTTATATTACACGACGTGATTATGTTACTGATGTGCATAAGTTCTTCATTTTAATAACGAATAATCAAAATAAAATTTCTACCAATATTTCTGCAAATACTAAGAAATACTTTATAATATCTTTAATGCATACTCAAGTTTCTTTATCATTTTCTAGAAATATAGCAATATTTTCTAAATGAATGTGCTTTTTCCCTTTTCCTTCTAATCACCTCCATTTTTTAGAAAATTTTTGTAATCGCGCGCATGTGGTCGGTAGAGTCAGTGTTGCGCAATAATTTAATTATATATAATTATATTTAATTAATAAATAAGAATATTTCTGAGAAAAATGTCTAGATTATTAATTTATTTAAATTATAATTCGCGCAGTTAGAGTCAGTGAGTCC